ACCTTCTGGGAAGTTGTTTTCAGACAATTACTGTTCGTATTTATTTACAGTAATTACTTGCACTTGACTTGCTAGGTAATTTATGACGGTAAGAACTATGGCACAATATGTTCTTCCATAGTTTTATTCCAATCAGACTTTGGCAACAATCAATGTTTTTGAATTTCTGCTGCCAAATGGTGTGATTTTGAATTTTTCCATATTCACTTTCATCCAAATTCAATCCATTTGCTAGTTTTTTTGAATAACAATACGAGTTTCTATTTTATTTCGGAATTATCAACATTCACTGTTCCAACTTCCTTACACAGAAACAACACTTCTTTGCCTATTTGATATTTCATTCCTATTATTGGATTAATTATTTTGAGTTAATTCCTTTTCCCTTTCGTTATCCAACCGGTTATGCGCAATCCTGATTTGGCACAGCGCAGAATTATAAAACTCTTGCAATGGAAACATCGATGTTTCCTACAGTTCGGCCAAGCATTTCATTCAATCGTTCCATTTGTTGTTTGATGAGCTGATCGCAAATAGTTGCCTCACTTTTTCGTTACTTTATCCCAACTTTATTTCAACCATTTTTCTTATTTTATATGAAAAGTAAACCAGCAACGATTTCCTATTTGAATATGAAGAAATAAAATTTCCCGATAGGATCAAATTTCTACGATATAATCAGTTTGAATATAACATCTTCGAGAAAGCTTATTTTATAATCAGTAAATATTTCGCTCATTCTTGTATATATGATTAATAAAACTGAAATTATAAGCGCGCAGATTGTTACGAACACTTATTGTTCTTTAACAGATCAATGAAATTTTCAAAATTTTGAAGAACAGGAAAAACCTCATAGTGATATAAATTTGTGTGAATGCACAAAAAATAGAGAAAAAAATTAGAAACGACTTATTTTGAAGAAAAAATCAAAAAAATATTCCGGCCAATATGTTCAGCTGTGTGTTTTCGAAAAAAGTTCAGACTTGTTGGAACTATTTTTCCGAGACTATCTATTCAATGAATGTGATGGATACGGTATATGCATGAGCAGTTTTGTTATTTCTACTTAGCATTTGAATGTAATTAAGCTGTTGTTGTTCCAAAAAATACTAATCAGAATTATCGTCTCTTAAAATAAGTGTGAAAGACAATTTGGCATGTGCTTTCAAATGAAAAACGGATGTATTCAGCATTACATCGTAACTAAGCCTACATGGGGCAATAATTTTGAACTATTGAGCCAAGTGAAATATTAACAATTAATTTCAATTAAATTTTTGAAAAATTGCCATTCTACAAAACCGACATCAGTCGTTTCTGTTTCTCGAAGGATCAATCATTCGTCTTCTATCAGTCGACCGAATTTTCTCTTCATTTGCTTTAAATTATTACCTTAAATGATTTTTCGCCTTTCAACTTTCACAAAATATAAATTTTTCAGGTTTCAAAGAAAATTCAAGAACTTTCAACTGTTGTTCACGTAAATAATTTCAATTTGTCAGTACCAATGCATCTTTTCATTACTTTCCTATTGGTTATTTGCGTTATTTTCATGGTGCAAGTAAGTTCATTAAGGCATTGTTTCTGAGTCAGAAAAATTATGTTTGAAGTTTGAGATTATTTACAAATTTTGTTTTCAGGCTTGTGCTCCACCACCACCAGCACCACCACCACCACCACCACCAGGGGGAATGGCCCCCGATGATCCTCAAGCACGGCGAAGAGTTCAGAAGAGAGAAGTACTAAAAGAAGAACGAGCAGTACCGGAACCATCACGAGAGCATGATGAGGCAGATGGTACAGGAGAAGAGGTGCCAAAAGGACTGAAAGGTAGAAAAGAGCCACAACGAGACGAAGGACTACCAAAAACATGATAAAATCAACAACAGTGAAATTTGTCTGAGATATCGAAACAGTTCCTCTCAGTGATATCAATTTTCTCATTTTGCTGTTTTTGTTTGCGCTAATCTGTCGATAATTTGTACATTTTTACTTTTTCAACTTATGTCTTGTTCCAGTATACTCACCAGCAAAAATGTTTTGGTATTAATCTCTCTCAAAGCAGAAATTATTTATAAGCTCCAAGCCAAAGCTTTTTCGAAATAAAAATAGAATAAAAATTCACAACAAAATATGCATGAAACAATGCTGTTCTGATCTGGCAAAATCGAAAAAACCCATATAAAAATGCTATCTTCAAGTCAGCTTTTACCATAATAATTATTTCAGATTTCTATATGCTCTGAAAATAATTTTAATAATGACACTTATGAATGTAATTATTGAGCCTCAGCCAGTGTTGAAGATTATTTACCAAAATTATAATCCATAAAGGGTCACGTTGCCAACATTGACTATTTTTTTAAGTGAAAATTTTTTCTCTCTGTTCCTGGACAAGAATTTTTTAAAATATCTATCAGCTAATAAATGTATTGCTTTTTTCAATTTCGTGAAAAATAAAAAGTTTCAATTTTAGAAGAAGGAAATATACAACGCTTTTTTTATATTTCAAAAATAAGAAATTGATCTAAAAATATGTGCTGAATGATAATTAAATCATTTTATTAGATGTACTGAAAGACAAAATAAATTGTTGTGTTTCACGCAACATTTTTGTTAATAGAGGGAAAAAAGCGACCCCCTAATTTTAATACAACATAAATGTAAAATAATTCTTGTGGTTTAATCTAACATAAGCTTAATTTCAGTTAATTAATTGCTAAAAACTAATTTGTTATTAGATCTGCCGATATATGCAAGGTCCAGAAAATCAAATTCGTATTATCAACTGAAATCATTTAACACTTCTATTTGTTAATTTTTTATTGCTAAATCCGGAAAATTATTGTGCGATTTTGATTCATTACAATCTTATATGAATTTAGGAAAAGCAAAATTTGCAATAAAAAATTCAAAAATGATATTTCATAAGGGAGGATGTGGTGTAAACATATTTTGATATGTCAGCAAATTGCAACTTATATTCAGTACTGAAGTGGCAAATGAATTTGTTGTAATCAAAAAAATAACAAAAACTAAAGGAACAAGTTAAACAAAATTATCACAGTAAAAATGGTGAAAATCTACAAATAAATACGATATATTCAAAATTATGGAATTTGTTCTTTCCAATTATACAATAACTTCGAACATTTCACAATTTATGATTTCGTAGGGAAGAAAAGCAAACATATTTCAATGAAAACTATATTTATTTATGCATGAATAAAAGTTTCAGGTAACATCAAAATTAGTGAACTGTAAGATAGAAAATTTTGAATTACCATAAAAATTGTGTTAATGCATACATCTGAACAAAAAATTTTATGAAGTAATGAAAAATGGATGATTTAAACAATGACGTTTTTTCGAAATTTTGGTAACTTCATTGATCTGCTTAATTTGCACACATACAATTTCAGTTTTACTATTTATCTGTTGAAGAAACTTCGTTTTATTCTTGTTTTGAAAGAGCTTTCAGATGGCACAGTTGAATATTTGTGATAGCTAATTTCTTCTTTGGGAAAGGATAATGTCAAAACACTTTTATCGGTGAGAAAGAGACGTAAATTTAAAGTTTTTTTTTTCTCATTCATTACTCCATTTATATATTCGTGTTGTCACATAATAGGAAAGATACATCAGCGACAGGTTAGCGCAAACAAAAACACCAAAATGAGAAAATTGATATTACTGAGAGGAATTGTTTCGATATCTCAGACAAATTTCACTGTTGTTGATTTTATCATGTTTTTGGTAGTCCTTCGTCTCGTTGTGGCTCTTTTCTACCTTTCAGTCCTTTTGGCACCTCTTCTCCTGTACCATCTGCCTCATCATGCTCTCGTGATGGTTCCGGTACTGCTCGTTCTTCTTTTAGTACTTCTCTCTTCTGAACTCTTCGCCGTGCTTGAGGATCATCGGGGGCCATTCCCCCTGGTGGTGGTGGTGGTGGTGGTGCTGGTGGTGGTGGAGCACAAGCCTGAAAACAAAATTTGTAAATAATCTCAAACTTCAAACATAATTTTTCTGACTCAGAAACAATGCCTTAATGAACTTACTTGCACCATGAAAATAACGCAAATAACCAATAGGAAAGTAATGAAAAGATGCATTGGTACTGACAAATTGAAATTATTTACGTGAACAACAGTTGAAAGTTCTTGAATTTTCTTTGAAACCTGAAAAATTTATATTTTGTGAAAGTTGAAAGGCGAAAAATCATTTAAGGTAATAATTTAAAGCAAATGAAGAGAAAATTCGGTCGACTGATAGAAGACGAATGATTGATCCTTCGAGAAACAGAAACGACTGATGTCGGTTTTGTAGAATGGCAATTTTTCAAAAATTTAATTGAAATTAATTGTTAATATTTCACTTGGCTCAATAGTTCAAAATTATTGCCCCATGTAGGCTTAGTTACGATGTAATGCTGAATACATCCGTTTTTCATTTGAAAGCACATGCCAAATTGTCTTTCACACTTATTTTAAGAGACGATAATTCTGATTAGTATTTTTTGGAACAACAACAGCTTAATTACATTCAAATGCTAAGTAGAAATAACAAAACTGCTCATGCATATACCGTATCCATCACATTCATTGAATAGATAGTCTCGGAAAAATAGTTCCAACAAGTCTGAACTTTTTTCGAAAACACACAGCTGAACATATTGGCCGGAATATTTTTTTGATTTTTTCTTCAAAATAAGTCGTTTCTAATTTTTTTCTCTATTTTTTGTGCATTCACACAAATTTATATCACTATGAGGTTTTTCCTGTTCTTCAAAATTTTGAAAATTTCATTGATCTGTTAAAGAACAATAAGTGTTCGTAACAATCTGCGCGCTTATAATTTCAGTTTTATTAATCATATATACAAGAATGAGCGAAATATTTACTGATTATAAAATAAGCTTTCTCGAAGATGTTATATTCAAACTGATTATATCGTAGAAATTTGATCCTATCGGGAAATTTTATTTCTTCATATTCAAATAGGAAATCGTTGCTGGTTTACTTTTCATATAAAATAAGAAAAATGGTTGAAATAAAGTTGGGATAAAGTAACGAAAAAGTGAGGCAACTATTTGCGATCAGCTCATCAAACAACAAATGGAACGATTGAATGAAATGCTTGGCCGAACTGTAGGAAACATCGATGTTTCCATTGCAAGAGTTTTATAATTCTGCGCTGTGCCAAATCAGGATTGCGCATAACCGGTTGGATAACGAAAGGGAAAAGGAATTAACTCAAAATAATTAATCCAATAATAGGAATGAAATATCAAATAGGCAAAGAAGTGTTGTTTCTGTGTAAGGAAGTTGGAACAGTGAATGTTGATAATTCCGAAATAAAATAGAAACTCGTATTGTTATTCAAAAAAACTAGCAAATGGATTGAATTTGGATGAAAGTGAATATGGAAAAATTCAAAATCACACCATTTGGCAGCAGAAATTCAAAAACATTGATTGTTGCCAAAGTCTGATTGGAATAAAACTATGGAAGAACATATTGTGCCATAGTTCTTACCGTCATAAATTACCTAGCAAGTCAAGTGCAAGTAATTACTGTAAATAAATACGAACAGTAATTGTCTGAAAACAACTTCCCAGAAGGT